GTCCAGCCAAGATTGGTGTTTCTGTGGAATAAAACATAACCTATAATGGCTTGAGTATGAGACAATCAAGATGAGAAATTCTAGATTGTAATAATTATTGAAGCTGCCTTGCTGTAATTGGCACAAGCCAATTAACTTCTCTCCTAAAAGAGGAGTAATTTTTTATTACTGCCCCAGAGAATGTTAATGGGACTGATGAATATTTATTGTGTATTTGGAGTGCTTTGTCATGTATTTGCATGCTAGATTGTATCTTTTCAGATAGTAGTGGTAGCATCTAAGGTGATGGGAGCAGGGCTTTGACAGTGATTCCAGTATAAAGTGCTCATCCTTTTTGCTTGCTCCTTCAGTTATGCTGATGTAGCTCTTTTGTACAGTTGTGCTGTAAAATGGGTCTTGTTTTTTTGTTGTTTGTTTGTTTGTGTTGGGTTTTTTTGTTTGTTTTGTTTTTGGGGATTTTTTAATAAAGACTTGTGGAGTGGGTGAGTTGTGAGGTTTTTTGTGTGTTTTTTGTTTTGTTTTGTTTTAATCCAGGTTAGTTTTCTTAATCTGGTTCACGGTGCAGCCTTCCTTAACAGTGATGACAACATAACTGTAAGGGCAGTATTTTGTAATACAGAATGTGTAGGGGTAAGAAAGGGGATCTCATCTCTATATGAAGACTCTGTGATGTCAAGCCACTGCTTGGCAAGTGGAGAGTCATTGACTGAAACAGATCTTTCCTCTTGTACTCAAAATTTGTTTCTCAAGAGTACTTTCCTTAGTGTTCAGAAGGAAAACATATTCAGTTGACAGCTCTGATATTTGAGGCTTTCTGGGCGCCCACAGTATAATAAGTCATTGGGTAATATGCTAGCAGAGAGAATTTGGCTACATCCTGCGGCTACTGACTGCAGGTTTGTGCAAACACTACATGCTTCTAAAATTTTTAAAGTTGGGGTTTTTTTGAGCAATTTCTCATATACAGTATTTGATGTTAATTTTAAAATGTCTTTATACACCCACTCATGCTGTACTTTAACCATAAGATCCTCTTCTGTTTCTTGGTAACGTAATGTTTTGGTAGTCTTTGCTTAAGCCTGGAGCTTAGGCAGTTGTCAGTTTTTGTTTTGCCTGTCTCAGTATCTGTTTCCTAGGGACAAAGTCATCCTGCAGATGGTTACTGCATTTCCATCAGCTAACCCTGCAGCATCCATTCAGTCTTAATCAGAAAGCAGTGCTGTACAACTGTTTCTGATTATTTTTTCCCCAGTGCGGGGAGCATGCCTTCTTAAGCCTTGCATGAGTTCTTTACGTACAGATCTCTGTTCTTATTACAACCTTACATTTTTTCCCCAGATACCATTTTATCTACTGTGCTTTAGATCAGGAAGATTAGCTGGCTACTCTTGTAATTTTTGTTAATTCTATTTATTAATTAGCTACTTGAGGGAGGTTTTTAAATAACTTTAAATACTACTTTTCAGTTGATGGATGGGCACTTTGCTCTCAGAACACAATTACTGCTTCTTATTATCTTTTTTTTTTCTTTTCCTCCTTTTCCCTCCCTCCCCTCATCCATCTGTTCTGTAAGGACAAAAATTACAAATATTTATTCTGAAATATTTAGCCACATAAAAAGGATGACTTAAAAATGCTGAGCACCAAACTGTTAGTGCTGCACTTGCTTGTGTTCCTTTGCTCACTCACTGAAATGAAACTGAAAAGATGAAGGAAGGTGGGCTCATAACTTGCCATTTTTCTTCTACCTTTCTCTTTGTGGAGACTTAACGCAACATCCAGGGGAGAGGGTAGATTTTTAGACCTTTTTAGACTTCAGAAGAGATGCCTGCTAAGAGTTTTGGAAAAGAAAAGCCTTGATACTATGATCTGCTGAAAACTGCTTTTACACTCTCTTTCACAGTTTAATCCTTCTGATATATGCTACTTTGTGACCATATTTCCTTTTAATATTTAATTGAATCATTACATACCTGTCAGATTTTAGGCTTTTAGGCCAATGCTGAAAACATAAGTGTGTCAGCCTCCAAATTAACAGCAATACTTACCATTTATGGAATGCTTGAAATTCCTAGAAAAGTTGCCTTACTTGGTTGAATTTTGAAGCGATTATGCTTGATATTTTTGTTCAGAGTGTTTAAATCAATTTGCAGGCAACTCATTTAATTTTCTCCTTGCTCTGCTGTTTTCTCTTTGCCTGCCAAGGAAGTCGGTGAATATTTGCACTCAGCAAAATGGAAATAATCTGAAATATGGAGTGCTGATCTGGACAATTTGAGGTTAATTTGTAAATAGGTAATTTGTTTATTATTATTAAGCTATGCTTCCTATTTGTTATTTTATGATAAAATTACAGCTAACTTATTTCTGTTCAAACAAATAAGTAAGTTTCAGCTCTCAACAAATACATCCAGGTGTTTATTTTCTCTTCTGTGTGCTTTGAAATAGATCTTGGGAATATGAACAGGATGAACAGGTTTTATTCTGCAAACCTTATTTTTAGTGAAAAATAATTATTTGCTTTTTCATCTGTTGAAACGAATGACAGAAATTCCACTGTGAAGTCAGTTAAGATCTGCACTTCGATTGTTTCATCAGCAGGGGAATATAAACATCCCTTAATCAAGGTGTGATTTTACAAAATGTAACAAGTTCATTTACAGGCAATGGTGGTGCTTCTTATTTAGGAGTTAATAGTCATGAGTGGCTTCTTCCTTTGTCTTTTGTTAATTGGACAGTTACTGTGAAACCGTCAGCAGTGCAAGGATGAAGACAGGAGCAGAAGTACTGTCCTCTTTGTTTAAAAGTTAAACTTGCAAGTGGTGTGAACTCTCACCTAGGTTTTGTATTCATAATAGCTTGGGATTTATCCAAAGGACTAAGTGTGCTTATTGCTATGTCCTGATCTTTTCTTTTACAAGCTGTTGTAATAGATGGCCAGGTGGTTAATAATCAACACATTTATGTGTATTTTGGAACACAGGTATAAAATGAAATGTTTTTTTCTACAAGATTTTTAAGTACAACTGAAGAAAATATTAGTGCTTCTGGAGGACAACTGTTAATCCTTTAATTTTGGGAGACTAGGAGACTCGTTAGTACACTCCCAAGTGTGTAATTCAGAAAGATTTATTCAGTACCATGTTAGTAATATGTCCCTGCAGAGATCTTGGGTATGGATCAGCAGTAGAAGTGCAGAGAACGTGTTTTGAATTGACTGTTTTTTAATTTTGATTGGGCCCTGTGGTTAAAAATGTGTAACCTGAATGTAGTTAAGCAACTTGTTCTTATAATTAACACGCTCTAAAGTTACTATAATCTTGACTCGCATGAGTGCTGGCTGCTGTCTTGATTAGTGACTTTTGATGAAGTTGGTAGAAGCCAAAGTTTGCTTTGCATGATGAGACTGTGTACTTGTTCTGACCCAGATCTTAGATCTTAGTTTTGCAGTCAACGGAGGTAAACTGAGACGAAGCAAGTGGGAAGGACCTCTTACGAAGCCCAGCAACTTCAGGAGATGTTGTATCAGCAAGACATTAAGCTAGGCTTGCATAGGTCTACATTTTGTCCTTTTAAAAGTGCCACTGCTCAACTGGAATGCATTTGTTATGTCCATTTCTGTCACATATAAGTTTAATTTTTTTTTTCCCCATTGTTAATTTTATTGAGAAAAATGTGTATTGGTGGTGGGCTTTGCTTTTCAATAGAAACTATTCCTTCTCAAATCAATTACCTACAGTTGTATTCTTTTAGATTCCTGTCTATCAAAAGGACTTAAAACAATGAAAGTCCCCTTGTTATGTGAACACATGTGCTAAAGTCCTTTGCTGAGTCAGTTGCTAAGTTATACTGCAGAAATTACTTTATTTTTCTCTAGATAATGTAAACAGAATAAAGATACAGGTTTAGTGGATAGGGACTTTCTGCTTACTTGCAAACTTCCTTGTTGATAAGGAGATTGAATTTTTTTAAAAATAACTTCACCCCCCCACAAAAGCATAAGATACATAAGCATTTAACTTTTTAGATTAAGAAGCAGCTACTCCAATTTATATGTAGTTTACAGCTTTTGAAAAAGAGATATTTGAAAGTGCAGTTCAGGTCTTTTAGGCTGATTTACATTCTATGTAATGTTAGTCCACTCCTAGCAATATTTTCTGGGAGGTTGGGACTGACTGCTTGGCACATGTGTGAAGGGCAAATTGCTGATGTTTCTGTCCTTTTCTTAGGCACTAATAGTGTATCCATCACTGAAATACCTTAACCTGTTGTATCCCTTCTGTATGGTACTCCTGTTTACCACAGTTCTAGGAGCATACATGTTTGGAGAGTTGATCTAGTACTACTTCTTAATTATTCTGTCAATTTTTTTTTTCTGCCTATTATATGTAAAAACATGAAGGTGTGCCTTAGTTTACTAATCTTGATTCTTCTTCAGTGTACCCTGTGTGATGTATATTGTATCTTGAACTGATGGCTAGGCACTTAGATGGAATTTGGATAGTATGTGTGAATCCATTCTTCTGAGTTATCCTTTGGGAATGTAAGTGTTGCTGTTTATTTACCTAAATGATAGCAGTTTTTCTGTTGTGTTGGAAAAAACGCTTGCCTTGTTTGGGGGGAATATTTTTGTGATACAAGCTTCTGAACTGAGTTGACTTACAAGAAAGGTTTACAAGAAGATTTAAAAAGAGCTTTAAACAGTGTAAAAAAAAAAGATGGGGAGGGAAAGTGATGGTTGTACTCTGGAACATATCATGTATGCATCATAAATTTGTAATGAAATGCAAGACATAATTATTTTGAGTGTTTGTGTGTGATGTACTGATAATTATCTGAAATGAGAGGGCTAGAAGGAGTTGGGAAATAGCAGGGAAGATAATGAATCAAGTCTTATCTGAAGTTAGCAGGCAATATTATGGCTTAATTCAAATTCTACCATACATGCAAAAAACCACAGCACACACATAACGAACAAAAATATTCTGCAAGCAATGATAAAAATAATCAATTATTTACTGTTTTTGTAATGTTAAAATATTTTACCAAGGCAAATTGCAGTCAAAAGTAATGTGAGTTATTTTGAAAATGGAAATACATAAAGATGCATTTATACAAGTGCAAGACTAAATATTTTACATAACTGTATTTCAATGAGAAGATATACAGTAAGTGCACACTTGATAACACTAAGCAGGCAAAACTTAACGTTAGTTCCATATGCTGTTGTATAGTTCATGCACAGATCTCTCCCAAAGTAAAGGGGCTGTTCCAAATAATTCTTGCTGGGATGAAAAACAGGATGGGTTGCTGGTAAGGGTGTCAGCATGGATGGGGGTCAGTTATAGACATTACTTACTGTAATTTGTGATTGCCGTGGGAGAGGAGTGGCTGTTGGTGTGATAGTAATACTGCTGGTGATTTTATTGGTGGGCTTACTGGGTAGGCCATTAGCTAGTGCTGTAGTTCTGTTGTCTTGCACCAGGTTACAAGGGCTGATGGGCTTGGAATTGGTGAGAGCTTGGACATAAGGGCTTCCTAAATGGATGTGGATTTTGTTATCCTCAGTAGTTATTACACTTGATCCCGTACTGTTAGATCTCTGAAACTGCCATGACGACTGCCTGTCTGGGGATACTCTAAAAACGGTGTGCTTGGCTCCCATTTCCAAAGGCTCTGAGGAGAGTGTGTGTTCCTGAGAACTTGAGCCTGGTAAAACCAAAGGGGACATTGTTCTTTCAGGAGTTAAAGAACCACATGATTCAGGAGTTTGAGATCTTGAAAAAGTAGCCATAGTAATAGGTGAAATTACTTGCTCTGAGCTCATGTAACCCTCTGCTGCTTTTGATTTTACAGGTGTTAAGGAGGCATTTTGAATAATGGTTATTCTTTGCTTTGGAGTACCACAGTTGGGTATAACTGCTGTGCTTGTGTAGGAGTGAGGACTTTCAGTGGTAGGACTAGTTATTTCAAGTGTTGCTGTATTCTGTCCATGGTCTGGAGTTACTTTTATGTGAAGAGGTTGGCCAGGTGTATGGCTTAGCACTAGGTCTCCAGTCTGTGCACAGTTTCCATTTTGCTTTGTGTTAATCTTTCCATTTTGAGGATGGCTCTCTTTGGACTTCATCCAGGGAATCCATAATTTCTTGTTCACAGCATTTGCAATGGATGAGTTGCTTTTACAAGACACTGTTTGTTCCTCGTCATTATCACTGTCTTCATACAGCTGCCCATTTATGACTGTTCGCTCTAAAGGCATGAGGGTTTTGTAATCGGGTGGTTCATTGTCTGCTGGATCCGTCTGGACTTCTTTAGAAAAAACTTGCAAATCAGAAATTCTCCTTCCATTGAGACTGGGCCTGAAGTTCTTGCTGAAGCGTCTGTACCTCTCCAGTTCTTTCGTGAGGCTTTCCATTTCTCTTGCCAACTCCCTGTTCTTGTTTTCTTGCTGCAGGAGTTTCTTCTGTAAGACTGTATGATCACCTCGGAGGTGACAAATTAAATCTTCCGTTGCCATGTATTCATGAATTTTCTCTTTCAGTGCATCTACTTCTCTGGAAAGATGACTTGATTTAGCTTCCTCTTCTTTGAGTTTCTTAAAAAGACGCTGCTCTTGATTGGACTCTGCCTTTTCGGTTAGTTTATACCTAGCCACTTCCATTTTCACAGCCTCCAGCTCCTCTGATAGGAGCTTGGCTCTGTCCCGTTCATTGACATATCTTCGTTCTAGGGACTCAAATTCATCTTCAGTTTTCATAAGATCATCTTCTATAGCCTTCATTTCTTTCAGCTTCTGCTTAAGTGTCTCAACTTCTTGAGAAAGCTCTTTGATTTTGTTATTCTCCTGCTGCAAGGAGGTGCTTGATTTAGTACCCTCCTTAAGTTTATTTTTAAGAAACTCTTTTTCAACAGCTTCTAGTGACTGAAGTCTTTTTCTCAGAATATTCACTTTGGAAACAAGATCAATTCCTTTTTCCTCTTCTGCTTTGAGTTTGTTTTTCAGTTCATCTCTTTCTTTTGTAACACTGGACACTTTTTCCTCTGCGTCAGATTTTGATTTCAGTGCCTTTTTGCTTTCCTCAATTAGTTTTTCTGTAACGGACATCACTTTATTTTGTTCCACCTGAAGCTGAGAAGTTGCAGCTTGCAGCTTTTCTTCTGTTTGCTTTATTTTTTCACCCATAGTTTTTCTTTCATCCACAAGCATCACTGTTAGACTCTTCAGCTTTGTCAAATCTTCTTTAAGTGTAAACTCTGTTTTTTCTAACTTACTTTCAATTGCTTCAAGCTCACCAATTCTAGCTTTTAAGCCATCCAGCTCATGGGACAACTGCTTTGTTAACATTTTTTCTCTTTCTAGGTTGCATTTCAGGGAGTAGCATTCCTGTTTGCTCTTGTTGAAAGCATCTTCTAGTTTCTCCAGCTCCATAATTCTTTTGTTGAGTTTGTCAATTTCCCCTTTAAGGTTCTTGCTCTGTGATGCTTCTTTTTCTAACTTTCTATTAAGTTCTCTGCACTGATCTTCCATTTTTATGAGTTCTTCATCTTTTCCTTCCATCTCCAGTAGTCGTTTCCGTAGTTCTTCTACTTCAGTCATAAGCGTGGAGTTTCCACATTCTCCCTTATTTATCTTATCCCTTAGGTCTTGCAATTCTTCTTCTGCTTTTCTTAAAGATTTATTGGTCTCTTCAAGCTCATCAATTTGTCGGCTGAGAGTGGTTAATTTTAACCGGAGTTGACGATTCTGACTGTCTTCATTGGTTAGTTTGGCCATCATTGCTTCTTGCTGTTGGGAAACCTTACTGCTTTGGGCTTGAAGTTCAGCCTCCAGCCTGCTAGCTCTCTGTTCTTCTTCTTGAACTTTTGCTTCAGCAAAAGCCAGCTTCTCATGTGCTTGTTCCTTAGAAGTGGTTAACTCTTGAATTTTTTCACTTTGTTGGTTCAACTGCTCAGTGAGTCTTTGCTGTTCATCCACCACCATTAAAGCAAAGGATTTCAGTTTAGTCAGTTCTTCTTTCAATTTAGCTATTTTCTTGTTGTTTTCCTTCTCTTTCTTTGCCTGATACGCTGTTTCTTGTTCAAGAAGCTTTTTCAATCTGTGGGAGGAAATAATATGTATTTTGTAGACATTTTAATGGGCATTTAAAAAACACACCTGAAATACCACGACATCTGTGACAGATGTGTCTGAACATCCACTTGTAACTACAAGCAGATCTCTTCTTTTACTGTCAGGGGACCCACCGGCCTTACTTTCTACTCAGAAGTTCTTTTGTAATGGACACTTCAATATGATAATTTAGACTTAGCAACTTCAGTAATTATGCATCTTTGATTACGTTTTCAGCTTTTGGCAGATGTCAGTGCGACACAACTTTTTGCTGTTCTGCACTGGAACAACACTGATCTTGGCTGTTTGCTGAGGCTAGCTACGTGCAGGCAGGTTTGGGTTTTGTTGATTTTTTTTTTTTAAGAAATGTGATTATCATAGTGGTTGAGAAATTAAATCAGTGCAGCCCTCGAGCAGGTAGAATTCATCAACCATGTAGATGTTAAAGTATGTGAAGGAAATGTAGCCAGACTATACTAGGCAGTTAGTCAGGCTGCCTAATGTCCATGTCTAAGTGTGTGCACACACAGACACACAGACACACACACACGTGTTGTGCCTTTTGAATGTGAGAAAGCCCAAATGTCTTGCTGTCCATTAGCCTTGAATTCAGTCTTATATCCAAAAACTTGCAGATATACCTAAGTGCAACCCTGCTGTTACATGATTCTTGAAGGTTTTTTGTAATGGTTTTCTGAAATTAGTTTTACAAGTTTATATTAGTACTCAGTCTTTACAGAGACGCAACATACTTAATGTTGTAGAGACTTGAGTAAGGATTAGCATTTGTTTATGTAAGATCCTAAGAAGCCTCCAAATACCTCAAATAATTAGGTTCTTTTGTAGACTTTTCTTTGTCAAGATGTTTGTGGAGTTGGTCTGAGATATGATTAGGTTTGGCCAGCACATTTGCCTCCTTTCAATTAAATTTTTCCCGCAGCCAGCCTATAACCATATTCTGATATTAAAGAAAAGTCTGAAAAGCCTAGATTGAAGAAATAAAGTATTAGAATTTGGATGTTTCCTTGTCGTTCATATGTATGGTGTATATCTAGTTGTGTAGATTATGTGAGGGAAATGAATTGCATATCAGGACTCTACTTATTTGCACAAAATGACTGCTTCAGCACTTATTAGCTGAGGCCCCTTTGTTTTTTTTAGTTTACCCCAACCCCTTTTGAATTATGACAATGACTCTCTAGAAGTTGCTGCTGAAACATAAGATCCACATTTGTCTCCAGTCACTATTGTGATGCCCTTGTCCAAGTGGTAAGTCTTTACAGTTTCCCACTGACGAGTTCCTGTTGCAGCCCTCCTTTTAGTTCAGGACGAGCTTAGCTATCAGCCTCCTTTGCACAGCTTTTTATTAGCTGCTGACTGACTGGAGGCATGCATTTCTGGGCATTTAATACACTGCCTCAGCGACATCCTCTTTGGCAGCATTGTAGTTTTCCTGCACGGTGAGAATAAGTCCTTGCCATTCTACAACTGTCCATCAGACTTGTGTGATTAATGGTGATATTGTATAGAAGTCTGCCTATGACATTTCTTACACCACCTTCTGTTTTTATTTTAGTGCATAAGTTGCACTATCTTGAATGTAATCAGATGCTTTATATGAAAAACTGACAGAATGGGAAGTAGCAATAGAGTTAACAGCAAAGACTTAAAGCAGCCCCAAATTCTTTGCAACAGTCTATTATCATAATGGAGAAAACAGACATGAAAAGGTGAAAGTGGAGAGGGAGAGGTTCCTGAAATGAGCTTGAAGGGACACTGCTGGTTGGCAGCACAAATAAATGGGGAGAAGACTGCACCATCTTCAAAGGCAGCTTCTTACTCTGCTGTTGGTGTATAAACTTTTGTCCACTTCTCAGTGCTAATTTCAGTTCGAGTTCTTTTTAGTGTAAAAATCTCTATTCCCTCCCCACCCTTGTCTCTAAATGCTTTAGTAGTGAAGTTCAATTGATGATTTACTGTTGCCATAGATATAAAACCATAACAGAAGCATAACGAGCAATTTAATTTGGAATGAACTCAGTTTTTGTGTGTGCCTGAAGTTAAGACATCTTACATTAATAGTATTAAACCAAACTTGAGCTTATTAACATTTGATTTATTTTAGCTTGCTTTACTATAATTTATTTTTGTAAGGCAGATTTAGCTGAGGTGATTAATACCTAAATTAATCAGTGTTTTACCCCACACTTCAGTATTAACTAGTTGATATTTCTCTTGACAAATGAAACTGTAATGCTCCAGTAACTGATGCCCCTTAAACTTTCTTTCTAAAGAAAACTCTTAGACCAAGTAGTAACCAACAATTGTAATTGTCATAGGGATGCTGTATAATTTTTTTATGATGCAAATAAGATAATTGTGCATAAATAATAAATAAAATCAGTTGACAAATGTTTGAGTGAATAATCCCAGCAGTTCTTCCAGTGAGCATCAATCTATGTACAATTTATATTTCTTTGTCGTCTTTTCCTTGTTTTTTTTTTCTTCTATAGCTTCATTTCTCAAGCTATCTGGAATGCTTAAGACTTGCTTCAGCAAAGCCCTCGAGGTTCCAGCCCAGACTGAGTGCCTGAGTGAGGTAGTCTGACCCAATCTCTAATCAAGTCTGTGTTGCAGGGGTTATTTGAACGAAAGTGCCTGAATTATTCGTATCTGACCTGGATCGGTGTATAAACCGAGAAGGATTGTCAAGAGATTATGTTTCTTTGGTCATGCCAAAAGACTTCAGGATATTTAGAAGTGTTTCCTTCATTCAAAAGATAAAATGCAGTTTTAAGATTCAAACAGAAATACTAGCAAATATTTCTAACCCCTGAGATCTATTTCTGTTTGAAAAGATACTTCTATAAAATCAGTCCATTGAAGTTATGTTACAGAGCATATTGCAGAATCTGTGGGTTAAAGGATTTATGTGTTCCTAAGAAGAAAAAGGGGATGTGTTAAGCATGATGGGTTTTTTATATTGTATAGATAAGGAAGTTTTTACACTTGTTTTTGATAACTACATGCTTATTCATGTATTCCTCTACAGATATATTAATGTATTCCTGTACAGAAAAAGCCCTTAACAGTGCTGAATAGATAATGATTTCTTGGACAGAGTTGAGATTGATATTGTAAGAGTCAGCTGGGAGTCTGTTAATATTTGCAGAAGAATTTTTCCTTGGCTGCTGAATTCCTGTTTCATGGTTCAGGAGATCACAGCAACTGTGTCTGCACACATGCATTTAGGACTGGAAGAGAACCTCAAAACGTTTGGGGTTTTTGTTTTGTGGTGGTGGTGGTGTGTTTTGGTTTGGGGTTTCTTTGCTTGTTTGGTTTTTTTTAAATTCATCACTTGGTTTTGGTCAGCTTTTTTTGGGGAACCTGACTTCTGCAGGTCAGAGCTTGGTTATGTATATCATTTGAATTAAGGCACACCCCATGTTTAATTGAAGAAGTGCTGTAATTGATAATAGCACTTTGTGATATTTGCATACTTTTGTGTCAGATTAAAAATACTTTGTGTTAACTTAGTTGATAATACTCTCTTCCTAAAGAAAAGTATTCAGAGTATTTGAGAGGGCAACGTTACCAAAAATGTGCAAAGGTCAAAAAAAGTTAGCTTAAAAAAAATAATTAAAAAACTCAGAGCTTCTCCCTATCCAGTAAATTTTTTTTACAGTTTTCATTTCCAGTTGAATTTCATGATCATGTAATTTCATATTAGACAAAGGTACTTATATCATTTAGGTAAAGCTTTCACAGATAATTCCAAGCAGTTGATTTCATAGGACTCCAAGAACCCTTTCTGAAAGCAGGCCAGCAAAAACAGGCATTGGAAATTGTTTTTATGAACATGAAAGTGAGGTGGTTACACAGAGTCAGGGCAGTGTCTTATTACTTTTTTTTTTTTTCAGAGCTTCTGTTTTAAATGACTGCTTTATTGTTGCTTACTATCTTGTTTCCGACACCAATTGCCTGCTTTTTTCTATTTTCTTAAAGAAATTGTGTTTGTTCATTGTAATCACTTTCCTTAGTACACACACTGTAGCTTCTTGGTGTTAATACCATGCATTCAATCATGTTGTCATGCTTTCCAGTTCTTTTTCAAGTGCACATAGCTTCATCTATACTACCTTATACTTAGCAACATCATGACAATGTGTTCCCTACAAGATGTGGGGACTCCCAAAACAGTTTATTGTTGTCTTGGTGTCATGTGATACTATTTTGTCCTTAAGTGGGGTTTTCCGTTTTCATGGGGGACCTGTATTACATCAACACTGTTTAATTTGTTTTTGCAGGATTCTAAGAGGGCTGCTTTTCCTCTTGAGTTTCAGGAAAACTAAAGAAAGCATGGGAGACTGAGATTGCAAGACCCTTATTTTTTAATTTTTTGAGTTTGTATTAGAATTAATCATTGTTTTTAGAATAATGAGAATAAAAATAATGTTTTTTCTTTTCTTTAAACCATCTTGTAATAATAACTTTAGAAAAGGCTGCATTCTTTAAGGATGCAATTGTAATAGGTGTTGGTTGGTAAAGCTGCACTTCTATCATTACTTCCACCAAAATATAGAGGATACTTTAATATAGGCCTTATCAATATATTGATTTTTATCAGATTATTCTGTAGAAATGACTGAGATTATGAATGTCTGACTTTTTTTTTTTTTTTAATAAGTTACCTATTTTTATCTAACTCATATGTTCTTCACCCTTCCCCAGGTAAAAGACAAGGCTTACTAGAGCTTCTACAGGTTATAACATGAGAGAGACTTGCTTCTAAAGTTTTTGGACATGTGCTTAAATTTCCCCCCGGTACAATACAAATAAAAACACTAAGCTGAAAGCTTTTAAATGTAGATGAAGTCATGCCTCTTCGTCTGAGGCATTCTTCCCAGTTAGCAGTAAGGCATGGCCTGGCCTTTAATAAGAGAAGAAACATGCTTGTCATTTCTGGTAAATCTTACAAGTTG